GGCGAAGGACGTATTGGCGCTGAGCGTGTCGCGTTTCGGCCTCGCTGGCGGCGTGCTCGGCTGGCGGAAGAAGCCGCGTCTGACCCAACGTGTGCAAGGCTCGCTCGGGGCGTTCCGCAACGTCGCTCGCCTGCGGCGGGCCGGGGTTGTCGGCCTCACCAACACGCCGGCCCAGATGCGCATGCGGCGTGTGGTTGATGCAACGGGCTTGTCTGCACGGAACCGGTCCACCGTGCGTCCAACACGCGTGGTGCCCGCAACTCCCCCCACAACGGCAAGAACCCCCCCTGTAGCAAGCAGAGCAATCGGCGGAACAGTCTGCGAGCGCGGGGAACTACGCGCCGCCCTGCCCCCCCCTCTTGTGCGGCCTGGCAAGGCGCGCAGGCTTGGCGATGTTGCCGAGATGGGAGGACGGGCCCGCGACTGTGAAAAGGGAGTTGTCTGGCGCGCCGTCCATTCCTCCAGTCGCCTGGCGGAGTCGTGGCACAACAGGTCTTCCGGCGAAGTGCCCGCTTGCGTCGCCAGGTCCTGCAGTCACAGTTTCGAACCTTGGCGCAGGCAGCTTGTCGGCGTCTACTGGCGTTTACTGGCCTCCGCCGTCTCACGACCCTGTGGTGACTGGCGTGGCGGCCTTCGCGGGCCCGGCGCAGCAGCGTCGTCCACTCGCCTCGTTGGAACGCCTGCGCTCTGTCCAGCACTTGGCGGCCCGCACGCCTCATGTTCAGGCAAGCTTGTGAGCAGCATGCGCGGCGCGAGCACGAATAACGTCCACGCGCGGAAGGCTTGTTGCTCGGGGTCGCGACCACGCGTTTCCTGAAGTCCTCGCAGCGCTTGCACAAGTGCGCCGGGTAGCATCCTGGATAGTCGGTGCGGGGTGGCGCAACTCTTCCGCCAAGTCGACGCCGTCCAGCGTCGCCCACTGCACCGACGTGAAGCCCGGTGTAAGGCCCTGTGTTGGTGGACTGAGGACAAGGGACCTGGTGGTTTAGCAGCCTCGCAAGGATTTAGGTCTAGACGAGGTCGCGTCGTCGAGCCTGAACGTGGGAGCACTCCAGGTGGAAGCCGGAGGCCACAACACTTCCAGCATACTGTTCTTAGATGTTCTTAGCACGTCGCCCATATTCCCCGCGTTTTACTACCACACTACGGGTATATAGTAGGCTGGATCTCTTGTTGACTACTCATGTCGACGATTTCCTCTTTGGGCGTCGACACTCAGCGGAGATGAGATCCTGAATCGACACCTAGAGCGACTCGAGATCGGACGAGATCAAAAGACTCCGTTTTTGCGGAAAGCAGTTCGATCAATCCGGAAATGATATTCGCCGAAGCGCTTGGAATCTTGGAACAAGCACATTGGCAGCTGAGGCGAACGGCTTCCTCACCCGGGTTGAAAGTGCTGAATACGCCCGTTAGTTGTTCTTGGAGGTGCTGAGCCCCGGCGTGAGGCTCATTGACACCAGCACTACCTGAAGAGCAAGATCCTCGCCTTCACCGACGCCAAGAGTAAGGAAGCAACCCTCAACTGGGACAGCCGACAAGCGTGTCCGTATATTGGTGGTGCAGGTGACGGAGCTGCGATGAAGAAAGCGAAGGCACTTTCGCAATTCGGGGCTGATACATCCCAAGATGCTCGCGGATGTGCTTGCGAAGCTTGCTTGAGAGCGTGAACCCTGCAGGAGGCCCCCAGAAAGCACCGCCGACAGGTCCCGCAAGACGATTCCCAGTATACGTCAGATGTTCCAAGTGTGAATTTGGCTCTGTTGCAGCCTTGAAGTTCTTAGCAGATCTCGAGGCCACCGTCCATGCCAGCGCTGCCAAGGATCAAGCCGAACCTCAACTTTGGGGCAGTACGATAGTACGAATTATGCTACAACTGCATGTGTACTGTATGTTGTAGTATAGTATGCCCCAAGCCCCCTTGCTGGAAAATATGAATGGCCTCTCCACACATGGGAAGTGACGACCGACCCGAGACGTAGTATAATCAGGCGCGATTGCCTCACTCCATCGCCCTCCCCCGACCAGATGCCACATGCCACCTACCAAAGATATCCAACAGGCAGGGGTCTACAGTCTGCAGACATCAGCAGGAAAGTGAGTTCCTCCTCTTTTGCCTTTCGTGCTTCTACACCCGTTGCACTGTACAAGGGTGAATCTGAGCATGCCTTGCGACTTTGCGGAGTCCTTCTGACTCAACAGAGGCTAGCACTGCGACTATACAAGTTGCCGGCCTCGCAAAAGTGTCACGCATGCCACACCTGTGATTGTATCAAGGTCAATGTGCAAAGGTTTTGCACGAGGGCGCAGAGTCCTTCGGACTCAACAAAATTGAAGGCCGAGCATCGTTTCTCTACAAGTTACCCAGCTCGCAAAAACATGTAGCATGCCGCATCCGAGAAAGATTCCGCCTTTCCTGGCTTAACTGCACTTCGCCATCGGCAACTTCGCTTTGCCCTGCAAGAGCGTGGGAGCGGGATGAGCGGGAGGCCCCCTCTCGAGGTCATCCAGGGCGGATGCAGGCGCACCCTCGTAGACAACACCAGGCTCCAGGTTGCTGCCCTTCCAGCTGAGACTCCCTGGACGCAACACCGCGCCATCTCCGGCATGGCACATTGCCACACTTGCACCTGACATGATGGTCACCCGATGCCCCACCGCGTAATGGGTGAACTTCAGGCGGAAGTCCTCGAAGGAATGGCATCTCACCTGTCCATCATAGTCCACCGTGACGTCATCCCCGATGTCCGTGAAGGGAGCGTCCACCAGCACCATCTCGTTCATGCAGAAGAACCGCTTGCCCACGCGCGCTCCAAGCAATCGCAGAACAGGAGCTTGCCAGCGGGTGCCGGCTGTCTGGAATGGCAGCTTGAAGACCCGCTGTTGGGCGGTGAGTGCCGTGAACCAACGCGTCACCGTGGTGGAGTAGTAGGCGTTGCTGTGGGGGGTGGATCCGTTGAAGAGCAGGTTGCCCAGCACCACGGAGAAAAGGTACCAGGAGACCAATGCGAAGGCCACGTACACGAGGAGCAGGACAAGAACTTCCCAAGCTGCGGTGATCATGGGGCACAGGAGGCGGCTCGTCAGCATGGCGGAAGCCGTGACAGCGCCCTGCACGCCGCGGTACAAGAAGACGTCCAAGATGCTGGTGCTGAAATGGTGCCAGAAACGTGCCAGGCAGCTCGCCGCTTCGGGGCCCTGGTTCACTTTGCCTGCCAGGCATGCCCAAATATCCCCGCCCGCAACGTCCACAACACCCCGGGGTTGGGACTATGACTGGCTACTGGCTACAACTGCTGCAGCTGCCTTTATGTTACCTTGAGCTAACGAGTAAAGCAGCATCAAGGCCTGCAGCATTGCTTAGCCGGCGGAACTTCATGGCAGGGTTGCCGAAGTAGCCTTGGAACGGGCCACACAGAGCATACTGTTGAAGCATCGCTCTGTGAGAGGATTTTGGCCGGAAACAATTTCAGGGCAAGCTGCTCATGTTGGGTTCGGTCGGCCTCTTTGGCAGCCAGGTGCCCACTCCACAGAAGCTGCCCTCCGGCAGGCCCTCGGGCAAGTGGTTGTGGTTTCCCAAGAAGGTGTGATCGCCTTAGGCCCGCTCCGGACTCGAGGCTGAGAGTCCCGCTAGACAAGTGCGACAAACACCTAGACTGCTGAACTCTACACCCAAATGTTGCAGAAAGGGAGCGGGAGAGCGAGCGTGAGCGCGAGCAGAGAGAGAGAGAGAGAGAGAGAGAGAGAGAGAGAGAGAGAGAGAGAGAGGGAGAGAGAGAGAGAGAGAGTGGGAGAGACAGAGGAAGAGAGAGAGTCTCTGGCAGGTCCTGCTGTCGGTCGGACATATGCAGACCCAGATTCTCAATTATGGAGGGTCTCGGGGTTGGAGATCTATGGAGCTATGGAGCTATTATAGGGTTTATCGTGTTTTGGAGGTCCAAGGTACGTCCTAAAACCTCAGCCTACTTATCCCGGTAGCCAGCCAAACCGCCGAGTGCGGACGGAAACTCGGTCGCGGCCAGGCAATTTCTCAAACTCATGCTGCTACAAACCCAATGTAAGATTCCTACAGTGGGTCACCGCCGAACTTGATTTGGGCCCCGAAACCTGGCCCCTTCGTGCGACACACGCAAACGCAGAAACTTTGAAACGGCCGAGTGGCTCATGTAGGTGATGCAAGGCACGTTGAACTTCCCCTGGTCGACATCCACGCTGGTCAAGATGTTGCCGGTGGCGAAGAAGCAGCCTTTGCCCACCACCAGCGTCTCCGGAAGGGTCACCTTTCAGGGAAGCAAAGGGAGCGTATTCAGCTTTTTGTTGTGTGCTTCTGCGGCAGCTCGCGGCCTGCAAGCCCATAGCGCATCCGTGTCCAAAGGTGGCACCGCACATCCGGATGAAGGCAGGGACAATGGAAGCATCTGCTAGCATCTCTGACGCCTGCAGCACCATGGACATCTTCAAGGCGGCGATCTGCGCCCGGATGCTGAGCAAGGAAGAGGTGAAGGGCGGCTTCACTTTGGGCAGAACCCGGCAGAGGACGACCGTTCCGCCGAGCTGGAGCACCTAAGACGCAAGAGATGCCACGCAAGTAAGCCTAACTGCATGCCACCGGACAAGAAAGGTCAACAAAACCCCAGCTCAAGAACAGCATATGCCTGGGTGCCGCACTGTGTTCAGCATGGAAGCCCCGAACGCGATGAGCGGAATCCATTTTAGCCGATCCATCATCTCTGTGGGCAGCACGTCCACGTGCTCCGGATACATGGACTCTTCCCTGACAACTTCCTGAGGATCCCACGGATACGAACTGAGCAGCTGGAACACCAAAACGCCAATGAGCGGCATCAGCGCTTTGGGAAGGAGCAACATCCAGTAGGCTGTGGCAAAGAAGGCCGCGCGAATTCGAAAGCTTCGGACTTCTGCAGGGTCTGGCAACCTGCTGAGATCCTTCGGCCCGACAAATTGAGCAGGAACGCCACACACGCGGCCATCCACAAGCATGCCAGAAGGGACTGCTGACAAAGGCTCCACATAGCCCGCAGCTGCAATCTCACATCCCGGCTCCAAAGTGCAGTTGGGGCCCACATAGGCGCCTGCACCAACCTTAACGGGTTTCAGGACCATGCGCCTGCTGCCGTAGTTCACTGCGGTCAGGTGTCGAGGGCCATGGACGGTCGCCAAGTCACCGACTGAAACGAGGTCATACGCCACCACGCGAGCAGTGACCACTGAGGTCAATCGGACATCTGCGCCGAGGGCCCTCAAAGCCAGGTTGCGCAGAAACAAGAAGGCGATGTTGCTTCCCTGATGCGCATTCTGTCCGACGATGGTGCCCTTTGCCATGTGCTCTACCAGCCAATGACGCAGATAGAACAAGCTGTAGATGTCATGATCACCTGCCTTGTAGCGACCGATCAGAGACCACTTCACAGCCACCAAGATGAACACCCGAACGAACTGCTCCAACGTCAGCACAGCTATCAGCAAGAGGAAAGTTTGCCAGACGGGCAGCATGAACGACAAAGGCAGCAGAACTCTTTCCGCAAGAAGCAGGCGGGACGCCACAAAGACCGGCTGCCCCAAAATGGCCAGGCCTTGCACCGCAGCGCACAGCACGGGCCAGCTGCGATTGCCGAAGCTCTCCGTTCCCTCTGCCTGGCTCTGTCCAAGGATGTAGGGAGCTAAAGATGAAGCCAAAGAAAGCAAGGAAGACGATCGAAGAGCTTGTGAACGGAGGCTTTCTGCAGTTCCTGCAGGAGCATACTTGGGAAACGACGGAACTGCCGTGAACCCACCCTCCACTGGCAGCTGCAGGATCTTGCGCTGGCTCGCATGGCTCGCACCACAACGCGGAACTTTGTCATGCTCGCAGATCAGAAGCTCAGCCCGCATCTGCCGCAGCTGTTCAGCATCATAGGCCAGCAGCGTGGCTCCTCGGGCCAAGATGCTCCAAGTGCTGAGGATGTCGCCTGCCGTGCCCGCTATGGTGAGGCTGGAGACGCGCCCGCCTTCCACGACTGGGCGCCAAGCGGCGAGCGCTTGCAGCACGGCGCGGTGCGATGCAGGGACTGCGCACTGCACGCCTCCCCTCACTTCCAGGGCAACGCAGCAAACGTCGTCACCTTGCATGGCCCTTCTGGCCTTGGGCGGCTGCGACAGCAGGGAACCCACTGCGCTCGCATCGAGAAGGCTCATCTGGGAGGAAGCGTCGCAAAGCTTGGCCAGCTGACCCCAGCTGCTGTCATCGGAGCTGGCCAAGACGAAATCCGGCTTCAGCACTTCGATCTGCTCCGCACAATCCGGTCCGAGAAGGCTGAAGACGCACCCTTCACGGAGAACCCCCAACATGGCACCCAGCCTAGTCATGGACTCCAGGTATATTGCCACGACGCTTCCCCTGAAAGGCTTGGCTTCATGCAAGAGCCGCTGATAGGCCATCATCTGACGACGCAGCTGCAAGTAGCTCAATGACTCATGGCTCCCCTCGAGGCAGACGGCGTGGGGGTGCTCCTTCACAGCCTCAAGGAAGGAATCCAGCAGGTCCGGTTCCAGGCTCACTTCGTCCTCAGAGTCTGATTCTGCTGACTGCTCAGCAAGAGCGGCGGCCAACGATCGAACCGTGGGGCGGTCAAAGAGCATCTGAAGGTCGATCTTCTGCAGCCTCGGCTTGGACCTCATCTGAGAGATCAGTCGTCCGAAACCTCCGGAGTCGACGCCGAGATCCTCCATGAAATGCGAGTCCCGGCTCCACTCCGGGACGTTCAGCTGCGGAGCCAAGCAGGCTGCGATTTCGAGCTCGAGATCTGACACCCCGGTCTTATCGAAGGCCTCCCAGCCATCTTTCTTCACCTCCGCATTCATCTCCTCATCCAGAGGAACCACATTCCGCAAGAGCTTTCCGGAGGCGTTGAACTTCCAGGCATCGTTCTCTACGATCTTCACCTGGCTCAGAACGTAGCCCCGGCCCAGCGACGCAGCCGTCGCTTTCAGCTCCGCCTCCGAAACATCCCCTGAAGTTCCTGAAGCCAGCAGCACCAAACTCTGGCCGTCCAGAACACGAGCCTCGCAGTTCGGTCGCCACGAACTTCAACAGTCTTACTAACTTCAATAGTCTCATTGCAGTCTTACAGCTACAAAAGGCCTCGCAGTGCTTCACCGCCGGCAACTCCACGATGGCCTGCTCCAAGGCTTCCAGCTCGATCCGAATGCCGCGCACCTTCACCTGGAAAAAAGCTTTGAGACAAAAATAAGCAAACTAAGCAATTATAAGTAACCTAAGCAATCCAAAAAAGAACGCTCTCTCTCTCACACACACACACACACTCATCAGGGGGGGTGTCCCTTCTTCAGAAAGAAGGGCCGTCGCCTGCCAGTCCACTCGGCCGTGGTAGTGGATCCGCCCAGACTCATCGCGGAGCGCCAGGTCTCCGGTGTTGTAGACACGGCCGATGCCCGGCAACTCCAGGAACTTGGCCTTGGTCTTCTCCTCCTCTTCGAGATAGCCGCGGGCCAGACCGATGCCCCCCACGAAGAGCACGCCGCGCTCTCCATCCGCTTTCCGTTCCAGCGTCTCGGGGTCCAGGATGTGGCACGTGTAGGTGGGCAGCTCGGCGCCGATGGTGATGATCTCGTCGGGCTTCACGTAGGCGCCCGTGCAAACCACCGAGATCTCCGAGGGCCCGTAGCTGTTGAAGAGGCGACGGCCTGGGGCCCAAGTGGACACGACGTCCGCTCCCAGCGCCTCTCCTCCGACGTCCAGGATTCTCAGGTGCGGAAGCCCTGCGGAGCTTCTTGAGACGTCGGCTCCGCCCCCAGCCATGGTGCGCAAGTGCGAGGGCACCACGCTCATGCCGGTGATCATCCGGTCCTTCAGCCAGACTTGCATGTCCGGGCCCGACTTCTTGATCATATCCGGGCAAGTGACACTCGTGGCTCCCACCGACATGGTGCCGTAGACTTCGATGATGTGCACGTCCCAGGACATGGAAGCAACCTGAGCAAACCGATCATGAGGGCCAAGACCCACATACCTCCCCCAGATGCGCACCACGTTCAAGGCCGACTTGTGGCGGATCATTACAGCCTTGGGCTTTCCCGTCGACCCACTTGTGAAGATCAGGTAAGCCAACCTATCCAGATCATCTGGGTCATGCTTGGCAGCTGGGAGCATGCCCCGGCTGTCCGCCTTCTTCAAGGCCAAGTCAGCATCGATGACAACGCGGGGGAAGTCGCCCAAAGTCGCAGCAACGTCCGTGAGAGCGAGTCGCTTCAAGACGGCGGCGGAGGAAATCATCACTGGCGGGCGAGAGACTTCCACCCAACTTCGAAGCTTCTCCACGGGCTCTCCAACGTCGAAGGCGTTGTACGCACACCCCTCCAGCATCACGGCGTGGACGGCTGCGATGCTCTTCACGCCTCGGTCAAGCACGATGGTCACCACGTGCTCGTCCGATCTGCGCTGGTGGGCTTCCGGCTCCTCGCCTGGCGACGCGCTCGGGAGGTCCAAAGAAGCCAAGGCCTTTCGCAGGACTTTGCGGATCGAGTTCGCCATGCGAGCGACCTGAAGGAGCCAGACCGGAGCAAAACAGATCTACATCATTCTACATTTATGCCCATGCATGTGGAGCCCAGCCCATCGGCTAACTTCAGGAAAAGCCTTCCGAGTACAGGCCCACACATGCTCGTGCTGGTAGCAACGTGGAGTACTCTCTAGTTTCCTGGATGACTTGGCACGCAGACAACACAACACAGCCCGAATGCAATTTGGGACAACGATGGACATTTCCCGCTCGAAGCTTTGGGCTAGGGTGGGGCGGCCTGCGCGAAGGTGTAGCTTTCGCCCTCGACTTCCAGGCAGACGCGGTCCGGAGTTGCTTCTGCAGCTGTCAAGAGAAGTTCGGCCAGGTTGGTCTCGATCCCGGGCATGCACTGTTGTCCGCACACATCAACCAGCGACAGCTCTTCGAGAGATGGCACAGCGTCGATCACAGCCATTGCGACTTTACAAGCGAAGCTGTAGATCGAGGTGTTGAGAGGTGCGCGGGGCGGGGACTGCAAATTGCTTGAGCCGAGATGCACGAAGGCATATGACTCCAAACGAGGCCTCAAAGCCACCGAACCCTGGCTGCACTGGTTGGAAGATAGGGGTGCCCATTCAGCCATCACAACAAGGCTCTGACCAACAATGGCGCTGCTTGTGGCTCGATGTTCTACGACACGCACGGACATCGCGTAACAGGTGCAGGTTTCAGCTTACAGGTGATATGAAAGGGAAAGGCTTGACGAGTCTGCCTGTCAGCCGAGCAGCCTACAGAGAGCGTGATCCTAGACGCGCGTGCCCGTGAATGTCTTCCCTTGGAGTGTTGTGGAAACAGCTAGCCAGGGATGTTCGTATGTACCGTATGTGTGTATGGAGCCATCTCGGCAGTTTCACCAGGAACTCAAGCGATCGGAAGGCCCCAACATGTCAAGAATGACTGCTCAGCCAGGCTAAACTCTGAAGATCTGCGCGTTACAGGGGTCGAGCTTGTGAATTGCCGCGCAGCCAGACACTCGTCAGGGCCGGGCAACCGTCTTCAGCGGCATCTTTCAAGCTCGGAGACAAGCGCATCCAAAATGCCATGGGGGCCTTCCATGCCGCGTGCCATGTTTTGTAGGACAGTTCCAGGGAATCACCGCACACCATGTCATAGAGACAAACAAAGGGCGTGACCTTCATGGGAAGGCAATGTCATGTGAACCTGGATTAAAACGAGGGCGTTATCTACACGGGAGCCCTGCATGGGAGTGCTATGTCACGTTGGTCTCAAACCAAGGGGCGTGACATACACAGGGCATGTTGACTTCGGAGACAAGGAAAGGGCGTGACACACACAAGTGGCCATGTTGACTTCGGAGAAAAACACAGGGCGTGACATACACAAGTGGCGATCTTGACTTCGAAGACAGACATACACAAGTGGCCAGGGCGTGGCGTACACAAGTGGCCATGTTGACTTCGGAGACAAACACAGTCACGAGCGGCCATGTTGACTTCGGAGAAAAACACAGGGCGGGAGAAAAACACAGGGCGTGACAAAAGCGTGACATACACAAGTGGCCATGTCATGTTGACTTCGCAGAAAAACACAGGGTGTGACATACACAAGTGGCCATGTTGACTTCGGGGAAAAACACAGGGCGTGACACACGAGCGGCCATGTTGACTTCGGACAAAAGCACAGGGCGTGACGTACACAAGTGGCCATGCCGACTTCGGGAAAAACACAGGGCGCGACACACAACCGGCCATGTTGACTTCGGAGAAAAACACAGGGCGTGACATACACAAGTGACCATGTTGACTTCGAGAAAAGCACATGCTTACCTGGACACCCCTTCTCGGGCCGATGGCCGGTCTTTTCTATTGTTGAAAGTCAGGCATGAGAGAGATAGGGGGGCTGTCCCAAATAGAAACTTTCTTAGGAAGCTTTCTAGAATAATTTTGGAAGAAGCCTACAGGCGTGAGTCCTTCCGAAGGAAGGGTCTTAGCCTTAGAACAACCCCCAGACTATGCGAACCAGCATCTGTACAGCGCCACGCAGGCTTTCATTACAGCCCTCGACCAAACTTTGGACGAAAAGCTGCAGCTGGCTCCCTCAGCCCGAAGCTTCGAGGCTGCTTGTGAGTTTTTTTCTATTTTACAAAAAACAATTCACAGCTTCTATACCAAAAAAGTTCACAAGTAGGCCAAAGGGTCTGTAAAACCTGACAGCCGCCCTGCCAAATTGAGACCTGGGTGATGAAACCTGCTCTCCCGCAGCTATTGCAGGCAGTTGCAAAGACCAGCACGGGAACTTCTGCAGGGGCTCCCTACTCCTCAAGCATCCTGAACCCTTAACACTCGGGTGGACTCTCCATTTTTGTATCCTAAAACCTTAAGATCCTGGACCCTGAAACTCGGGTCTACTCTGCATTAGTGGACAATGGGGGAATGCATGCAGCTCAGTGCCGGCGCAGCTGTGGGCAAACTGGCGACCTCGGTCTGCCAGGGCTTCGGGTTTGGGGCTTGGGGCTTGAGGCTTGGGGCTTGGGGTTTGGGGTTTGGGGTTTGGGGTTTGGGGCTTGGGCCTTGGGGTTTGGGGTTTGGGGTTTGGGGTTTGGGGTTTGGGGTTTGGGGTTTGGGGTTTGGACCTTGGGGTTTGGGCTTTGGGGTTTGGGGCTTGGGGTTTGAGGTTTGGGGCCTGCGGTTTGGGGCTAGGGGCTTGGGGTACACAACAAACATCAAACATGGTCCGGGTTGGAGGCCGCAAAGAGGAGAACAATAAGGTTATAGTTAACTGCACGCAACTGACGTGGAGGGCTGTTCGCGGAGCTATTCCGGAGCATGACCCTAAAACCCTAAACCCTAAACCCTAAACACTAAACCCTAAACCCTAAACCCGAAACCCGAAACCCGAAACCCGAAACCCTAAACCCTAAACCCTAAACCCTAAACCCTAAACCCTAAACCCTAAACCCTAAACCGCATCGGCCTCGTGGTCGCGCAAGAGCTTCAACATGTCTAGGTTGCCATTGTCGGACGCAAGATCTGCTGGAGAGGTGCCATCAGCGAGGCATACACCAGGATTCGCCCGATGTTCTAGCAGCTTTTGTGCCACTTGGACGTGGTTTTCCTTCGTTCTTGTTTGGATACCGATGGAAGAAAATGCCTCTTTCAGCTTCCGCGGCCACGTACTAAGCACTGCAACACAGGTGGTGTTCGAAAAAGGAAAAGAAGACGAACCGAGTTTCTTGCACGGCGAGGAAGAGTGCCGAAGCGCCACTTTCGAGGCACGCATCGATGGCCTGCGCCCAGCTCCGGTGTTGCTACAGCTCTTCAGGTCTGAACAAAAATGCTGAACATTCTTGCCTCAACCCTCGACCCTAAATCCTCTAAACCCTGCCCTAAACCCTAAACCCCAAAACCCAAAACCCTAAACTGTAGCAACTTAAAGTCCCTAGACTAGGCATGGCGCTTGGGATTGCCTGCGTCTTGCCCACCAGGAGCTCCACCAACTCGAGGTTCCCAGCCCAGGCTGCCATCCTAGCTGTTCAGAAGGTTTTATTTCTCAGGGTTCAGGGTTTAGGGTTAGGGTTTCAGGCTTAGGGTTTAGGGCTTGAGGCTTATATAGGGTTGAGGGTTTTGAAACTGGCTTCATGGTCCACTACGAAGCCTATTTTAGCTCTCGCGTTGAGCTCAAGATGTCTGTGGAAACAACATTTACGCCCTGTTTTAGGGGTAGGGAACTGGGTAAAACAGTAAGGAAGGGAAAAGCATGTGACATTACCTCGACTGTACATTACGGGGTCTAAGAAAATGGTGAGCTTCACTCATGTCATATGAAAAGAGAAAATACTTCGCACACGATGGCAGTTGACCTGAAAGTATATACAACATACCATCGGACTCAGTCCATGAGAAAGAATGAAAGATATAGATGGGGTCACGCATCCATGCTGCAAGCTGAAACCCGAAAACTCAAGATCTGCAAAAAACGACCTCTGGAAAGGAATACACGAGAACATGATTGCACTCACCCACGCAAGACTGGAAGCCTCGCTGATCATGTTTAGATCTCAGAGCTGGAAGCTTAAACAGCTGCCTGAGGATATTTTAGGCCTCAGGTTTCTCACCCGTTTAGATAGGGTCAACCAAATCCAGCTTTTGAGATATCTTCTCACACTGGGCACAAGGACAGCGAAGAGAAAAACACAGATCTCAGACGACGCACCAAAAAAGGCAGCACAGACGGCTGGACTCAAACATTCTTGAGGGTTTTCTGTAATTTGTCGCTGGTCAGCGACGTAGCGTGCCGAAACTTGCGAGTTTATCTTCGCAGATGGTGTGTCCCAAAATCTCAACCTGGTGGGTCCGGAGACGGGGTCGCCAGGCGGACTAAGGCCCAGATATTTTGCCCAGAACTCAAAAACACGCTCCAAGCTGAAATCCGAAAGAAGTTTCAAAGTTTGCAAAAATACCAGACACGACTGCAACCCCAGCACACTCGCTCACTCAAGACTGGAAGCCTCGCTGAACATGCTTTCATATCCTAGACCCCGAAGCCTTACAAAACTGGAAGCTGAAACGAGTGCCTGAGGATATTTCTCCAAACTCCTGCTTGCGGTAGGACGGGGTATCAAGCATAGGGGCTTCGACCCAAAGGCACGTAGAGGGCTCGAACCTCACACTTTTGGGGTTCGTTTTGGGGAGAAGTAGTTCCAGAACTGAAAAGTCTTGTTGGACACCGAATTTTACACGCAACAATGCTGCTTTGAAAAACGCAGTCACGCGCAGCGCTCAGGCCCGGATGACGTTAGCTGTAATTGCAGAGCTGCTGCCCGAACGAACTCGCTCGGGATTGTTGGCAAGTTGGCAATAATGTGGCGCGCGGACACCAGTTAGACCTCAACCTCTCCAGCGTAAACCGTAAACCGAGTCAGTGTGATGACGAATATGGAAAGATATCGCTCAGCATCTCGTCAAAGACTCTAAACTACATTCTACATTGGAGGCGGCGTCAACACGATGATGTCGGAGCGCCACGTCTCTTCGTGGACGCTGCATACCTTTGGGCCCAGACTCGTTTATCACAAAGGTCCGCTTGCTCTTCAGTAGCCACACATGTTTTCATACAACCTCCACTCAACACTCGGACCCGCACAGCCTCCACATCAATCACATCAGCAGGGAAGCGGTCAGGTCCTCATGGAGCGCCACGCGAAAACTGTAAGCTGCTTGCTTTTCATGACGGCGCACATGTCCTCGCGGAGGGCGCACAACTCACCTTGGTGCCAAGACTTGCCTTCCCCACCCTTCCAATCTCGAAGCTTCCATTGAGGCTGGCGCTGTCTGGGATGAACACCATGTCCTAAACAGAAACCTTGCCTTGTTCAGGCCCACCGTCCCCGAGGCAGCCTGGAGAAGACCGAGTGGCGAACACCACACACGTCGAGCGGCGAGTCGGCGAGCTCTGGCGAACGCGGGGCCAGACAAAGTCCACAGCGTCAACGCTGACACCGAGATCTCAGATAGCACATGCCCGCAGAAACAAACGCCCGCGTGCGCCGAAAGCCGGACGGAGGAGCGCGCAGACAGCTCGCCTTCGCGTTAAAAAAAAAAAAAAAGCTTCCCCCGACCACTCTTCCCAGGAGTGCCCGAAGCTTCGATTGGGGGCAGTGCCTGATGGAACAAATGGCATGACACCCAACGCCCCATCAAAGCTCACGCATACGCGCCAAGGATTCAGCCCGAGAAGCTGACCAGCTGCGCACGACTGCTTCACATAACACTGTGAAAAGATCGTGACGAGCTTCTGCAGCGAAGCTCGATCTCTGAGAGACAGAGACAGAGACAGAGACAGAGACAGAGACAGAGACAGAGACAGAGACAGAGACAGAGACAGAGACAGAGACAGAGACAGAGACAGAGACAGACAGAGACAGAGACAGAGACAGAGACAGAGACAGAGACAGAGACAGAGACAGAGACAGAGACAGAGACAGAGACAGAGACAGAGACAGAGAGAGAGAGAGAGAGAGAGAGAGAGAGAGAGAGAGAGAGAGAGAGAGAGAGAGAGAGAGGGTCAAACAAAAGGCCAGGCCCGGGTGATTGAAAACAGAAACCTTGACTTGTTCTGGTCCGCCATCCCCGACACAGCCGGGAGAAAGGCGAACTCTGGCGGACTCGGGGCCACACAAAGTTCACGGTGTCAGCGCTGACACCGAGATCTCGGATGGCACATGCCCGCAGCAACATACAGCATGAGCCGAAAGCCTTTACAACTATACTCAAGGTCATCGCGGAGCGCAGTCAGCTCGCCTTCGCGCACGAAAAAACTCTCCGCCCGACCATTCTTCCAGGAGTGCCCGAAGCTTCGACTGAGGGCGGCGCCTGACGGAACAAGTGTCATGACACCCAGGGCCCCAGAGCGCAGCGCTTGAACCGAGAAGCTGGCACGTAGCACTGTGAGAAGATCGGGACGAGCTTCGCAACGCTGGAGCTTCGGAGCTTTGGATGCTTGAGCTTCTGGATTGCTGAGCCTGAGACGTGCTTCTTAGGTTTATGAGGTCCTTCAAAAAACTTTGGGCGAAGGGCCACTGGCGCGCCCTCTCTGGGATGGCTGTGGCCTCCGGGGCTGTTTCAACCCCATGATGTAGCGTGTAGGGGTTAAGATTTAGGATTTTGGGGACTGGGTCCTGCGGTCTAACTACGTAGCGTCGTTTTGATGCTGGACCCAAGGCGCCTGGGATATGTACGACATGAAAAAGACACATAACCACTCGCCCTGTTATTAAGGGCGAAAATGTGAACTCGGCTACAGATAAAGGACAACTACACAGGGTGGATTTCACACCCATCTTATCTTCGAGTCACATCTTATCTTCGAGTCACATCGAGTATATCAAAGAGAAAGGAAAGCTGTCTCACATTCGTGGTTTATGTCGTGCGGGTCTGGCACACACAAGTACAAAACCTTTTTACGAAATTCATTGGAGACTTATTCGTTCTCTTCTACCTCATCGCCAAATGCTTCTTCTTCTACCTCCACGTCTTCTTCTTCTTCGTCACCGGACACAGCACCAACTACAAGCTTATGTGGAACACTAAAGCATAAAGTGTGTGGAAACCGCTGTACATGCGGGACACAACACACGATCCAAGTGCGACAGAAAACAAGTGGATTGTTGACATGGCTGAACCACCTTGGAACAATGGCGCGGAGGAGTGTGCCTTCAGAGCAGCTCAAGACGTCTGTGGAATTATGACACTGGATGTGAAGCCAGAGCCACGTTTCAAGGAATAGTTTTGTATACGGACAAGTTATGTTTTAAATATACTTTTCGGATTTCTTGATTTATGACATTTTTACGATTTGTTTTTTGATTCTCTTCGATCTTATAAAAATTTTATGATTTTTATGAAAAATGTATGTTTTTCGTCGATTTTATGAAAATGTTATGATTATTTTATGAAAATTGTATGGTTTTGGTCGGTTTTATGTGTTTCTGTATTGAAAATGATTCGAAATTGATGAGAAACATAAAAATTTTTAGAAAATCATAGTTTTTTTCATAAAATCGACGAAAAACATAAATTTTTCAGAAACAAATCATAATTTTTTCATAAATTCGAAGAGAATCATAGAACAAATCGTAAAAATGACATAAATCGAAAAAACTTCAAGAAATGTCTCAAATTATAAAATACTCATTAAAAAACATTTGGCACTGTGCTCTCTGTGGCTGAGTCCGGGTAACTGTGGAAACAACATTTACGCCCAAAACGGGGTAGGGAACTGGGTAAGACAGAAAGGAAGGGAAAAGCATGTGACACTACCTCGGCTGCACACTGCGAGGTCCAAGAAAAGGTTTCACAAGGGTTTAGGGCCAGTTTAGGGTTTAGGGTTTCGGGCTCAGGGGTTTTCAGAAGTCAGGGCCTTCGGGCTTACGGTATGGGGACACCTCTGAACACTTCGTCCATGTTTCTTGTTTTGAAGGCCGCAGCCCACCACACGACGCCTGGGAAACGCCCCCCGACTCCGAGAAGTCTCTGATCATCCTGAACGCTGCCCTAACCCTACAGGGCCCTACAGGCTAAGCCCGTGGGTTTCACGGGGTTCTCCTGCACCCTTCTCCCTGGCTTTGTGAGATGGCTTTCTACCCGTGGCAGGTTTGCGGAGGAAGTTGGAGTTGGGCGAGAATAGGGCGGGCTTCGGAAATCTGCTATGGGGTGGGTGCCTGGTTGGCCTGGCGTAGGTTTGAGGTTTTGGGGTTTGGGCGACGTTTCGTCCCAGCCAAACTCACCGATTCCGCTCAACGTTTCGTTGCGCCGTTGTGCTTCCGCAAGCGCCAAATCTACCTGAAGCATTCCGTTCCTCCACCCTCACCTTACCTGGGGTCTGCGGCCTATGCCGGAGGCTTTGTATTTCGGACAAGAAGACAAGGCCCTGTTCCGCAAAAAGAAAACAGGGATAATGCTACAAACCTGGTTGCTGGAGCGAGGTTGCACCGTCGGCTGCCGCATGGTCCACTAGAGCCCCGTGGTCCATCAGGGTTGCGGCAATGTCAATGCAATTCTTCTGGCAGGCCTTTATCAGCGGGGAACAACCTTTTTGGGAGACCTCATTGGGATCAGCGTTCGCCTTCAGGAGAAGTTTGACTGCGTTGAGGCTCTTCTGTTGTGCAGCCAGGAGTAGGGGCGTAGTCCGCGGCCGGCTGGCGCCCTTCTGTGCCGGTTCGCCGGCCCTCTTGATTGCTGCGCCTGCTTGCAGAAGATGCTCAACTATGTCCTCATTGCCCTTCAGCACTGCAATCTCCACGGGCGTGAACCCGCGGTCGGTTGGCCTATTGAGATCGGCTTTGATGGCCACCAAAAATTCCACGCAGGCGAGCTGGTTCTCTTGACAGCTCACGTACAAGCACGTTGCACCTTCGTTCTGAGGCTCGTCAAAGAGCTTCTTAAGGAGGCTCTGAAGCCGGGTGTCGTGATCCTTGGTCTGTTGCTTGACGTGATCCTTGGTCTCAGTTTGTTCCAAAAGCAAAATCATCCAAACACGACTAAGGTTGAAACATCCAGAATGAGTAGCCGCCAGGGATCATAGAGCCGTTCGAGGATGCAGCGATGTCCTTGTTCTGCAGCTGGAAAAGCTGGGCTGGCGCCAGCGGTGTCCTTAGCCCACGGGCGCTTCCCTTGTTGCGCGGGCAGCAAAAGCAACCGCCAGGCAAGGTGCCAAGCTATCTTTGCACAAATGGCAACTGAGAGCTTGGAAGTGCTTGTCAAAAGGGGGTTCCTGTTGGCTAGAGAGTGATCCTGCAGCTCCTGGCCTTCTGAGCACGCGTCGCAAACAGACATGCTATATGAAGCCGGGTGTACATTCCTTGTATCGCCAAAACCAAAACAGATACACTCACAAAAGTACAAAAAAGTGATCTCTGAATACACTCACCAAAAGCAGCCATATCCCTTGCAGCTGCATCCTGCACCACATTAACTATGGTAGAGTAAAAAAGCTTCAAGCATCATCCTAAGCGACTGAAGAGCTTTTATTGTTTGCTAATACCATACACACTCTGTAGTATCGTGGCAGGGCAAGATGCACAAGTATCAGTATCGTAGACTAGTACGACTAGTACACTTTGCCACCGGAAACTCTACACGCAGCATACGAAACACTGACGCAGACTCTTTGCTGTCCAGCCGCCTTCCTCACACAGTCGGCCCCGGCCCGCAGCAAGATGTCCAACTTTTCTACATCCCCGCTCCGGCAGACCTGCCGAAGTCGCTCAGGGAGTACTGAGAACAAAAGCAGGCACTACTGTGGCCAACTCTACTCGCGATACACGCTGAGGCAAAACCACCAGGAACCCACGTCTTACCATGTCTTACCTGTGGGAGGGGGTTCTATACCAGAAGACACATTGTCATACCAACTTTCGTGCATGGCAAACGAGCACTGTTGCTTGTGTCGCACTACTTTGGCTCACGAAGACTGACCAAGGACACGCTGGAGCTCTCATTTCTGGCCCGCGTGCTGGGCAACACACAGCTTCACGAGGCAAAGGAAGTCTTCTGCCATCAGACGCACGCACGCATCGCGACTGCTGAGGGCGGCCCGAGAAACAGAGACAATCCCTGGCAATACACATGCAAGGCTCGCAGGAAATCAGATTTCGCGAATTCGAAATATCAAAATCTTACTTTCGCTGGCATCTCTACTTCTACCTGTTCCCTTTCGAGCACTTGTCGGTCTGACAGAGAGTCTTCCGAGCAGATAGCAGCTGCTCGCAAACTTGAACAGAAGCGTTTCCTTGTACAGTAATTGGGTTTCTAAAAATTGTCATCGTCCCCTCGTCTGCCCAGAGCACCCTAATTGTTGCAGCAGACGCACGACGAATGAAAAGTCACACTCTCTAAGTCCCTTCACCCACAAGTCTCAGCCTCTACACGCGCTTACCCTCGGCGCGATGCTCTCATCATCTCTGCGGGCCTTCCAAATGGCGGTCTCACCTCTTTCGTCACAGCAGTCCGGATCCTGGTGCTCAGATGAGGTCATTTAAGCTCTGAACTTTGGGGTCTCGCGGTGGCCACCCTTTTTCCCTCAAAAAAACCGGCTACTCAAGCCTAGGCCCGAAACTCTCAACTGAAAGCGCCCTGGTCCTGGTACTCATGCAAAGCTTGGATCAACCGATCCGTCCCGTTGGGCCCCTCTGCGTCGGCTGCCTCGAGGAACTCCTGGTCTCTCCGGGCTTCGGGATCGCGAAGTCCATTCTCCACCACCGTCAGCGCTTTCAGAGGTCCTCGCATGGTGTAACAGATATACATAGTAGCAACAAGAGTCGGCACTGTACGAGCAAGAATGGCAGTATGCCAGTATGCCTAGCAGGTAGTAGCAGTGGCACGCAACAGTAGCACTTCGACAGGTCCTTCGCTCTCAAGATCCTTGAAAGACCGGCCTTTGGGCAACACGACTGTTACATCCTCCGTGTTCCCCTCTTCCGTGTTCCGCTTGATCGTCCATAAGAATCTGGTGGTGAAGTATCGCATGCCGAACTTGCTGCAAAGGTGAGATCTAAGAAAGTGGTCGAGGTCTTCATGCTCCAGGCACTGCTCGGCCAGCACTTGGTCGAGGTTGTCTCCATTGAATCTGTGGAGCGATAAAGGCGAAGGCCGCCACTGCATGTCACCCAACCACGCCTCTGGTCTTCGGCTGTCGCGGCGCAATCCCTGCGCAACAAGTTGCAGCTCAAAGTGGCAAGTTTACGGGCCAGTTCTCTTTCAAAGCAGGATGTGAGTTGCCCTCAGCCCTTTGAGGCCAAGTCTGTCTAAGCCGAGTCTAAGCCTGAACGAACGGTCTTGTTTTCCGGCTCCTGCTTTACAGTTGTAGCAACACAGGAGAGAAGAACTCAAAGGCTGGCACGTCAGAGGCGGGTCCCATCTCGCTTTCAGGGCCTCCGCGTCGCTGCTCTCCCACTCTCGGCCCCCCAGCGCCGTGATGTGCCCCTGCACTGCGGCAGCTGCATCATCCATCTTGCCCGGGGCCTCCGCTTCCCGCAAAACAATGGCAAAAGCGCCACAACAACACGAAGACTCCAAGAAGTCAGACCCCCCAGTGGCCCTACAGGAGACTGCGAAACGACTAAGGCGTCCAGCCTGCATTCCGGAGACCGAGCCTCGGTCCGGCGCGAGAAGCTTTGCCCGAGGGTCACAGGTCTACTTGCTCGGGAGATGCGAGCACTCTGCGGTCTGTGCATCTTCATTCCGCTTGCGGCACAGCAACAACAACTTGAAGCCCGTGTCCCGCAGAATATATGGCGCAGGAGAGTCGTCCCTGTCCTAGAGACTCCTGTCCAGAGGACTCGTTTCGGAAGTTTGCTGCCACTTGAAATTTGCACTGCCAGATGATGGTCACAGGTAACCTTGCAGCCTTGGGGGGTTCCTAGCAGATCCTGAGCCCAGACTCCCAGCCATGCCAATCATCGCCAAGGGCAGAACCGAACGCATGAGCTCTTGCAGAACGACATAGTATGCCGTAAGCCGTAAGCTATAGTGTACTATATAGTATGACCAAGTCCTGCCCCGAGAGTCCATGTGCGCACTTCACCCCGAACGACAGCATGCGGGTGGGAGAAGGTGGCCCGACGTTCGAGAGGTTGAGGGTGCGGACACAGCTGGGAAGGAGAGGGACGCCTCTTCCGTGAGATGCTCAAGGCCGAAACCCTTTCGTACGAAGGTGTTAATTTTAAGGATGACCCCTTCTGAAAGGCTTGAACCGAGAAATTCCCAAGTCACCTTCCGAAACTGAAGAAAATCGTCCTGTTCCCCATAGCTGCGTATTTTCAAGACTCTGAGCCCTTCAAGGGTTCAGAGTTCAAGGTTTCGGTGCCCCACGACTACACTTTACACCCTCCCAAACCATTCTCGTCAAAGCGTCAAAGTGAAATAGGAATTCTCTGATAGTCACTGAGAGTCATCCCTATGTTCGCCTGGTCATGAAACCGCACCTACTGTTCGCCGGCCGGCTTCGGACGTCTGGAACAAGCAAACCAATGTCTGGTCTCCTTCTCTCCTTCCCAACCCTTCGCTGCACACGCTCCCCTTTTGGAACCGCTTGGAGGAGCCCCAATCCGGCCGCGGGGGTTCCGGCAAAAAAGAAAGTCGCTTGAGAGGCCCCCGCCCGAGGTGGCACGCGCAAGCATTTCCAATTAACTGACAGTCAGATAGTCTTGGTATATTCTTTTGATCCCCATACATCTCGATTTACTCCGACTTAACGAATGTAGTCCACGGCAAGAAGTTCTCTACGGCGTTTTTCTCGGCAGTGCGCGGGTAATGGCTGTGCGCTGACGGCGATGGATGGCGGTCGTTCCTGACAACCTGGCTCGGGCTTACATCCCTGCGCTACAAGCAACACGTGTTGGTAAACCCTAACTGGACCGTGTTACAGGTTGCCAAACCACTTCCGTGATGGATATTTTGCCCTCCAACTCAGGCCTGCGCTTCTGACACGGGACGGCCAGGAACATTCAGGTAGCAAAAACAACCTTCTCAAGTTGCGAGCGTTTCATTGCGAAGTTGTCCCACTGGCAAAGCTGCAAGCTAAGTCCGGGACGGAAATTCCTGCAGCCACGGCAGCTGGCTCGTCTCTGCTTGGCAGCTTCAATCTCGACTCTTGATGTCAGAAGCCACAGAAAGGAGCGATTGTAATACTGATTGGGGTCTTTCGCAGGGGCCCTCCGCCGCCACGTGGAGTCCAGCAGAAGCCATAGGGGCCGCAGCTGCCTTTTCAGATCTTTTTGAGCACGCAGCATCAACGAGTTCAAGACCAGCCAAGCCCTGGGATAAACCTTGCCTGGCGAGGGCAAATAATGCAGGATCATTGTCAGCAAAACAACGCAGTCTTGCGCCTCTGACCCAGAGAGGCCGTGAAGAAGCGCTTCAACGACACCATTCTCGAAGCGTCCGAGGTCGTGCTTGCACGTATACAAGACACGCACGCCGGCAGCTTGCCGTTCATGTAGCAGCGGCAGGACAGCAGGTGCGATGCATCGCCGGATCGGCGAATTTCCATATTGACAAAACCCCGCAAGGACTTCAAATGCTGTAGGGCCAGAGTTATACGAATCGTCAGAGTTGTACGAATCGTCTGCGACGCGACGCACCAGCTTCAAGACGGCTCCCGGAGCATAGCGCATCCACCACGTCGCCCCTTCGACCAGGCATTTGGTGCCTGACAACGACATAACGAAGAAATTGCAACAAGTATATATCATGATGACCCTGCCCATTCATGATTACTTGACCTTGATTTTCCTGAACTGCATAATAAAGGTGTACGTAGTAGCACCACGACTGCATTAACTAAGCCACTGTCGCGCAGCTTGCTTTGATCAGCCAGTGCCCGATACCTGAAGCTGCTAAGTCAACAATTGGTGCATCGCTACAAGCGTCGCTTGCTTCCGAGCGGCTTGTGCTCCCGAGCAACATCAACTAACTCCACAAGGTGCCAAACGAGCTCCTGAAATATGCGATCGGGCAACAGCCGCTAGACGCAAAGGGACCCAAAAACATAAGAATTCAAACAAATCAAGAAAACAGTGAAAAACTGTGAGTGTGTTTATGAACTAAACAAAATGACAGATCCTCATCTCTCAAGACCATGCACGACACGACTGCATGGTACCCCTCAGGATTCGCCCGTCAAGCACAGCGCATCCGCAGCACAAGCCTGACAGCTGTCCTCCGGCGATGGTTTCCCGCTTCAGAGAACTCTGCGCAGCAAGGGGGACTGGAGTGCCCAGAGCCGGATTCCGAGAGTGTCACAACAACCGGACCCCGTCTCGGCCAATTCCAACGTAAGGTGGCACATCTGGTTGTTTAAAATTGCACAGCTCAACATAGGATACCACCCATCTACCTCTTTTGTGCATGTGTTGATGGGTGTGAATATCTTATACCTGCTTGAGGTCCGGTCCTGACCTGAGACGCGATGCACCTCTGCTGAGGGGAGCAAAGCAGATGATGTCGCAGCATAAAGCAAAAAAAGGGCCACACAGCTTCGACTGCAAGAACTCTCGACCGTGCCACATCCCACACAACGCAAGCTCTCTTTTCGAGACCTTCAGCTGCCTGGAGCCCTAAGACCTGCAAACCCTAAACCCTAAATCCTAAACCCTAAACCCTAAACCCTACATCCTAAACCCTAAACCCTAAACCCTCAACACTCTCGGAGACATGGCTCACCCTGTCGCATGACCCTGTCTCCTTGGGGCGGTGGACCGTCTGCTCTGCGCAAGAGAGATGCAGGACATCCGGCACCTGAGATTAGGGTTTAAAGATTCAGGGTTTAGGGTTTAGGGTTCAGGGTTCAGGGTTTAGGGCTTGGGGGTTTCGGGCTTCTAGCTTGCTGAGGTGGAAGAGATGGGGTTTTGCAATTGGCGTTGCGGTTTCCGGTGGGCACATGCACCATGAAAATCAAAGACAACTACATAGGTGTGCGTACACGTGCATAATATATATATATATATATGTATATGTGTGTGTGTGTGTGTGCATGTTGTATGTATGTATGTGCAGTGTCGCCCAGTCCCCCAGCCTCCCCCCCCGAAGGTATGGTACCCCCCAGCCCCCTGTGGTTGGGGGCGGGCGGGGGGGTTAGGATTTAGGGTTTTAGAGTTTCCGGCTTAGGGTTTACGGGTTTTAGGGTCTGAGGGTTTTAGGGTTTAGGGTTTTAGGGTTAAGGGTTTTCCAGGTTCTGAAGGCTTTGTGTAGGGCTTTAAGGGGTTTTCAGGATGTGTTTAGGTTGCAGGATTCATTTTCGGGTTTAGAGTTCTTGGGTTTAGGGCTTAAGGTTTTAAGGTTTTAGGGTTTACAGTTTCACGTGAGGGTTTTGGGTTGAGGGGGGACCGCTGAAATGGCGACACGGAACCATATATATATATATATATATATATGTGCATTTGTTTGTTTTTCTATTTATGGATTTATTCACCTGTATGCTCGGCCCCCAAGACCACAGCTTCTATTCTTCTCTATCTGAATAAGGTTGAAACCCATCCTATTTCAATATTTCTCATTCTAGGTTTCAGATGCCAGATTAAATTTCCAGATTTGACACTTTGCTAGGGCCAATGTTCCCGGGCCTCCAGTTCTCCAGGTTCCAGATTTAGGGCTTAGGGTGCCGCGTTGTGCCTTGCCGAAACCTTGAAAATACCGCAAACTACATGGTCTTCGTTGTATAATATAAGTGCAGCAAGCAGGGCATAAAAACATTACTTGGATGTGTGGTCCTGCGGGAGGGGGCAGGTGACCATTTATGTATGTACATAGATATGTACATGATTGCACATGCAAATTACGTGGATGTGAGTCCTGTCAGTCGGTATGCCTTTTGCGCACCAATTGGTACAGGAAGGAGTCAAGCTTCCGGAGGAAGTGCAAAGGTGTGAAAAGGTTGGTTTGTCTTGCGGCAGTTGAACCAGTTGAAGATAGTTGATGCTTGGCACGAATGGCTCGATGAAAGTTACGGACATCATTGACAGGGATGTCTCCGCTGAGGCACTTCCAGGAAGGACATCAGAAGGGAAAAGGTGATGGGATTCGCTGCGTCGTCAAAAGAGCACCCAGGATGCAGGTCCTGAGAGCGCAGGGGGCAATTCACGTCATACTTTGAGGCCTTGGTCAGCTAAATGATCTTGCGACGTCTCACTACCACTGCTCCCAGGGCAGATCCCAAGCAGAAGCTGAATTGCAATATTATTCTCAGATCCGTCCTCTGCTGGACTTGCTGCTTGCTGGTGTTGAACCTGACGATGTCGGGACTTACGCAGGCCGGTAAACCTCGCACGCACAGAACATGCCTCAGACCAATTGGAGCTGTACAGCTCCTCAATCTCCTCCGTGGATGAGATTACAAGGAAGATGCTACATGCAAGGAAGGTAAAGCGTAACCGGTGCATCCTTGGAAGCTAAGGCGTTGCCAACCAGACTTCCTGAACAGCCAACTGCAGGGCAACTGCATCGAGACGGAGTTCTGGCGCGATGCGAATTACACTAAAACCAGCACTCCTCCACCGGCCAAATCAAGGTAGAACTCACTTTGCGGATCTGGCAAAGTTGGCCGAGCACACGCTTGCAAGCATCTGCCCTAGTTTCTTTCAACTGCAACGCAGCCCGCCTTCCAGAAACCAGTGGAAAAAGGCCATGGCTGTGGCAGGATCGTAAACGATAAAGCACCGCTGCGTGGTCCCGCAAGCTTCCTGATCTTGAGGTGTCGCACTGGTGTCGCCCTGCAGATGTGTTTGAAACTGCTCACGTGGGCTGAAAGCCAAAGGCTGCCAGCACACAAGCAAGTCCGGAGCTTCCACCACCTGTGCATGCCCCCGGCAAAACCGCCAGTATTTCTGATATCGCAAGTTTGGGGACCTCGAGCGACCTCTCGATGAAGCGACTGCTATACTCTCACACAGCGCCTCCCCGCTGGGCGCTACGCCACCACTCTCACGTCATAGCCACGGTAGCAGGGGCAATCTGCCGCAACTCAGCCTCACAATTCTAAATGTGAACCTTTGTTCTGTAAACTCTGCAACGCCTCCAAGCTTCAACACAGCCGAAACCGGATCCCTCGCCGCGTTCAATTTTCCACAGCCCGTCACCCCCGAGCCGCCTAAGCCAGAAATCACACACCCCAAAGCCGGTCAAGTGCAGTCCCAGCGCGAGCAGAAGCAGCGGCAACAGCGCCGTTCTTCCTCCACGCTCTCCTGCTGCATACTCTCCGCGTTTCCAGGCCAATAAACCAATCTCATGCAGATGCTGCCCACCTCTTGTCTGTGAATGTCCGCGGCCTGCATTTTAAAGGCTGACACAAGCAGAGACGGCAGTCTTGCATGGCACCTCCTGTCGCTGCCACTCCTCCGCCTCAGTGCGCATGGTCTCGATTCAACTGTTGGTGTTTTTTGTCCACGTCTGTACGAGACTATGTTTGAGGTGCGGAATGTTGGGAACACAAGTTTGCTTCCCGTTTACTTGCCTCTTCCTCTGCATGGGTCCTTGTCGCCTCCTCCTGCGGAAACGTGCCATACTTCCTAGTGACCACATCGCGCGACCCGGGCTCGCCGTGCACCTCTTCCCGGCGCCTCGCTTCTTCTGATCGTGCCCTCTCCTGTGCACAGGCATCGTTGGGGATTCGTTTCATGTAGAAGCACGGCCGACGCGCAATGATAAAACTAGGTTCCTATGATAATTTAAGGTATATACCTTAGTAAGGGGTTTTGGAGTCTCTCTTGAGTCAGGAGGAGGAGCACGTCATGCGTGAGCTTATGGTCATTCGGGCTTTCGACTGCGGACAGTCAGGGACTGAGCTTTCTGCCTTTCAGGGTTTAGGGTTTAGGGTTTAGGGTTTAGGGTTTAGGGTTTAGGGTTTAGGGTTTAGGGTTTAGGGTTTAGGGTTTAGGGTTTAGGGTTTAGGGTTTAGGGTTTAGGGTTAGGGTTTAGGGTGGGGTTTACGGTGGGGTTTAAGGATTGTTGGAGATCCTTAACCCACGCGAAACCCTAGAGGTAAACAGTTTAGGGTTTCGGGTTCAGGGTTTAGGGTTTAGGGTTTAAGGTTTAGGCTTCTGGTCCTGAAGTTGCAACCCAAAACCAACACACATCCCGTCCCAGGCTGGGCAAAGGAAAAATCGACTATGTTTTCCGCCGTCAACTACGTGTGGCTCGGGCAGGCACTGACGCGGGCTTCGGCTGGCCAGGGAAGTTGGCGTACAGCTTCTGCCCAACGAGTCACCCACGCCACACAAGGAAATCATCAACACAGGGCCCACCCTATCACACTCCCGCGGCCTGCATACAATCAGGTGCAACAGTCCGCAGATGTTGGGCGTAGTATGACCTGTCGTGGCTACGAATTGCACGTCCTCTGAAACAATGCCAAGAATTCGCAGCTGTGCTATTCCAAATCATGGGTCAATGCACTTCAACCTTTGTCTGCTGTGGACCATCTTGCCTGAACTCAGATTGAGCATCCTCACGTGCAGCCTCAGTTGAGCCGGAAGGCAGACACCCCAGGGTCCCGCACACTGCACACTTGTACGTGTTGGTAGCCTGTGGAAGGCAAATAGACCGCAAGTGGCTCGGGCCTGCTCTGAACCATCTGGCCCAAACTCAGCTTGAGCATCATCACGCACAGCCTCGGCTTTGCCGGAATGCAGACTGGATTTAACACATTGGTCTTTGGATGTCATAGCTTTATGATATTCCTTGGTCCGCCACGGATGCTGGAGCTTGAACCAGCAGCAAATCCTGCAAATGCATGACTCGCTTGAACTACTGGAAGCCTTCTCCCTTTCCGCTTCGGTTCCCACCTCGTGATTCGAGAGGAAGGGAACGAATCACGGAGCTTCGGTTGGTTGCAATGAGAATTGCAGAGCTGCAAGGTGTGGCTTGAAACGCCTACGCCAAGATCCGCCAAGATCCGCCAAGCAACGCCCTGAAGGTAACCCTTTCGCTGCTACTTGCCGCAGCCTCCGTGACACCCGTGCGCAGCTCCCATAGCCTTGGGCAACTGATCTTGGATTTGTCTGGGGGTTTGGGGATACGCAAAGCACCTTCTTTGTCCTGCCGCCCATGTACCTCGCTGAGCCTGAAACTGCAACCTTTGAAATGTCGATCCTAACTCAATTCCATTCGAACCACCCTGAAATAAAACACCCTGAGCCACCAAGAGGCGCCCGCATCAGGTTGCCATCCTCACTAGCCTGCAGGAAAGCATCCCGGCTCTGCTTGCGGATTGCATTCAGCTCATCGTCCTGCTCAAGATTCACGGGGTCAGAGATGAAGTCTTGTGCCGGATGCCACTTTGCCCTGTGGCTCCCCGCTGCATCCTCGGTGATCTGGCATTCGGGATGTTCCTCCGCCTCTGCTGCTGAAGCTAGCCGGCGGAGCTTTTCAAAGCTTCTGCGAGGGATGCACACGGATGCAAGATGATGAACACTGGGGCAGGATTGTTCAGGACGACGGCTCAGGAGCTATCGGGGGTTCGGATCTAAAGCCATCGGCATGGGTGCGGGTCTGAGGGCCTCAGAGGCCTCGAACCTAGCGACAATCTGCACGGGACTTTCCATGTCTTTAGGATTTACAAAACTGTCGACATCTGAATGTATAAAGGAAGAGGTTCATAAAGCTCTGAACCTTTCAGTGTCGAGTCCGTTGTCCTCGAGCTGGAACGTGAGATCGAGGGCGAGCGTGTGGCCCGCGAGGACCTGGCCCGCCGCGTGCAGAATCTCGAGCGAACTGTCGCTGCCCTGCAGTCTCGCTGTGCTGATCTTGAGCAGGACGTGGAAGTGGTTTCTACTCGACTGGCGTCCGTCAACGCCTTCTTGCACGGCTTCATCAGTCGCTTGGGACAGCTCTTCCGCGTTGTCATCAACCGCTTGCCCACTGGCTTCTGAACAGGCTGCCCTGATGGCTTCTTCCTCTAGTGCTTCGGGCCTCCCTGGCCATTCGGAAGGGGGAGAGACTGGGCCAGCGTCCCTCAGCGATGCTCTGGCTGATCCGTCTGACTTTCATTCGCGACTGGTGGCGGCCGAGACGCCAGCAGTTTTGGATGCCACCTCCATCAGTGTTTCAGAGTTCTCTTGGCACGCACACCTTCAAGAAGCCCGAGTCTTACCGCCCCTCTTGCCATGGGAGAGGGGCCCCTTGACTTGGGTCTTTGGAGAGCCGGCTAAAAGATCTCGCATCAGCTTACCAAAGGACTTCGCTGCATCCCCCCTGGAAAAGCATGGGACAGAGAAGGCTCCCCTCGTGATCCATCAGCCAATCCCAGATTTTGCCAAAAGGAGGCTCCGTGTTGCATCTCTACTGGTCACCCAGGACACTTCGAGATGGGAGGCCCTTCGCAAACTTCAAGTGCTGGTGCTCCTGGACCCTTCGGCGACTCAAGTTGGGCAGGTGTTGGCGGCTGAGGCGTCTTTGCTAAGGGACAACAGTTTCTTACAGCGAGCCTTTTCCGATGTCTTCGAGGGGAAAAGCACTTCTACACTGGTGAAAAGGGCTTCTTCCTTGTGGCGCTTCGCCAACTTCTGCATCGACGGTGGCTTCGGGAACCCGCTTGAGGTCTCGGAGCATGCTCTGTACCAGTACATGTTCCACCTCGAAGAGCACGGAAAGCCAACCACGGGCTCCTCATTTCTCCAGGCTTGGAACTTTGCGCTTCACACCCTCAAGTTGAACCGTCCCAGGTCGCTGGGGGCGCTGTCAGCAAGGGTTAAGGGTGCAGCCCAACGGATGTACTCGAAGAAGCGCAAACTGGTGCAAGCCCGACCCTTGACTGTGAAGCAGGTCAAAGCCCTGGAATACGTCGTCCTCAAGGCGCCCTACATTCACTGGAAGATCATCGCTGGCCACCTTCTTCTGTGTGTAGGGTCCAGCAGCCGCTTTGGGGACTCAATTTGCCTGGCAGTCCTCAAGGTTGAAACGGCGCAGGGCTTCACCTTGGTCGAGGCTGAAAGCTCAAAATGGAAGACCGGAAATGCTGCCTCCCGGCGTGCTCAGCTGCTTCCCCTCGCTTCTCTTGGGAAGTTTTTCGCAGATGCTCCGTGGGCCGTCGAATGGATGGCTCTGAGAGAGAAGCTGGGCTTTGGTCTAGATCCTGCACTTCCGGCTTATTCCGAGGCGACTGGCGAGTGGCTGCAGCGGCCTAAAAAATTGACAAATGTGCTCAAGAGTTCGCTAAAGAACGGCCTGCAAATGTGATAATGAAGCACATGTGCCATGTATGCAAACGACCACGAACCTCTGTTTGAGCAGGGCTGAGCGCGGCACAAGCACTTTGCATTTTGCACAAGAGAAGAATTCAAGCAGCTGTGCCTACTGCGAAGCCCCGAAAAACCACATGAAAAACGTCTGCATAAATCATGCCCATGCAAGATCTGCAAACACACGTGGTAGAAAACTCAGAAACTTTAAAGACAGTTTTGCGTTGCCCCTTCTTCAAAAAGGGGGAAGGGGCACCTATAAATCAAAGACCACTCTATCCGCAAGCGGAGCGCGTAGTCAAGCCTGAGGCTCGGCAGGCGTAGCTTCGGAACCCAGCTCTGCCTGCAGGACTTGGGGTTCAAGGCATATAGGCTTCAGGCTTATGGGTTTAGGGGCCAGCAGACAAATAACTGCGAACCACAAAGCGAAGGGCGGCAAAGGAAGCATCCGAGTTAACACCAAACGAGAATCACCTCAGCAAAGAAACACGAAAGCACCGGATTTCGAGGTGGAAGCGAGCATCATCATCAGCAGAACATCATAATGATGCAATTGGTACCTGTTCACTACGATGACCAGCATAGCTTCTAACTACCCGCTCTTGTCGGGCGGGGACATGTTTGAAGATTCACAGCTGAACAGGATGTGTATGTCGGTCAGAGACTGCCATGCGAAAAGGTCCAGCACCACTGATACGGCTAGTGCTGCCCCCCGGCCCCGTCTTCCTCCACCCCTCAGAAGAAAAGCAAGAAACACGAGCGAACAAACAACACATTTAGCATGCGCTCTGCAAACATATCACACGCAGCAATCGCAGTGCATGAGACAAGCCAAAATCTTACCAGCCCGCAGTACATCCGCACATGTGATCAACCAACACACGGAAACAAAGAGCAACATGCCGCGTGAACAGCGGGACACTTCTTCTACACGCGTGTCACAAACGACAACTTATTCTGTCCTGGTACACGTGCAAAGCTGCAGAAACTTGTCAGGTGATGCTGTCAGCGATGTTCTTCTTTCGGAAAGTTAAGGCGTGAATTTGCACATTTCGGAAGCTTATCTTAAGCACGACGTCCACGAGGTGTCAATGAAAGCTGGAATCAACGAATACCTTCTCGGTCACAACCAACTATCAATAACATTCTGGGAGCAAAATCTTAACCTTGGCATGGGCTTGCCAAGCTTGTCGTCCACACCATCCGAAAGGTTTGTCATCACGGCAGATTCTTGCATAACTGTTCCTGGTAGCGACGTCCCTGTTGGCACATAACATCGAAGTTCACAACGTGCTCGATGTAAGTACCAAAAAGCACCTGTTTAGTAAGGCAACGTTTCGGTACAATTGCCTGCCTGCGCCTCCCTGGCACACTTGGTAAGGCAACATTTCGGCACAGTTGCCCGCCTGAGCCTCCCTGGCACTCTTAGAAAGGCAACATGTCGGTACAACTGCCCACCTGAGCTTCCGGGCCTGCTTGCTGTCCTGAATCTTGTACTGCCTGGTCTGCTGTCCTGATGTGCCTAGGTGCCCTCAAGTACGTCGCGTCACATGGCCCGTGCCATTTTGTCCTTAAAATCTCATGACACAGCGAAAAGCCAGAAGCAAGGAAGGAGTCGGACAAGACCAAAAAGCAGTAAGCGAAACGCAAAGCGCGAAATCATCTCCAGGACCAAACAAACATGCGAAGTTGCCCACTGCTCGGCAACCAGTCGCGCCAGGAGCTCCTGGGTGTTGCCCTGGAAGTGCCGCGCAGCTCGGCGGCCGGGAAGAGCGCGAAACTCAGTCCGGCACTGGGGGCACTTGCTTGTGCCCCCCTGCGGCCGAATTGTCAACACCTGCCAAAACAATCAAACCACCTGAGCAGCAGAGTGAGTGGACACGAACCATCTCGAAGCAGCTGCGGCAGGTCAGGTACCCGCACTTACGGCAGCGGCCCAACGAAAAGGTCTCAAAGCAAACCGAGCACGCCATGTCAACTTGCGGGGGACGGCAGGAACGAAAGCTAGTGAGCGCAGTTGGAGAAGCCACTCAAGAGAACAGCATTGACCGAACAGGCAAGTGTGAGACTACCTCGGACCTAGTGCACTCCTTGCCCATCACCCGTACCCCACCCCAAAGCAAGAATCCTGGCCAGAAAAAACCTGGAGCAAAACATCCGTCGAGCGCCCAGCCCCAAGACCATCCCCAGAGAATGTCTGGAGCGCCCAACCCCAGAGAACCCCACTGTCCAGGCTTAAGAGCATCTCACAAAACTCTGCAGCGCCACCCCAGAGCGCAGAGCATCACAAAAGAATCCTCGAATTGCCCAGCCTGGAGCGCCCCACCCCAGAGTGTCCCCAGAAATTCCTTAGGTTGCCCCAGAGAAGCCCCTAGAGTGCAACCCAGAGTACCCCCAAAGAATCTATCTGCACAGAATCCCTGGAGTGCCCAACCGCAGTATCCCCAGAGAATCCCCTGAGCATGATCTGAATAAACCCACTCGTACACGGTTCGACGCTGCTGTTGGAAATGCACTTAGCTCACCCGCGCATGGCTTCGACGCTGCACTTGGAGATGTAGAAACATGGTTTCGACGCTGTCTTCAAAAATATTACACACCAGATGTTCGACCCTGAGCCTTCGGGCGCGCTTCGCCCAATCGCCCCCTAAGGCTGAGCATCAATTTTCTGGCTGACAAGGTACCGTTCAGGACCTCAAGAAGGCGCTTGGCCACCGCACCCTGGTGGGATTTAGCCCTAAGTTCAGCCCACTTTCTTTCTATCCCCATACCCCTGTTGTTCAGCCTCGCGGTTGGTAAGAAACTCGGCTGGCTCCCACGGGCTAGCTTTCGTGATATGGGCGGGCAGCTCCTGAGTCTTGGAACAGCCAGCAAGCTCAACAGCTTTGAACCAAGTCACCAATGACTTAAAGCCAAGCCTCGCTATTGACTATTGACGAGCATGCGACACACCGACTACGACGCTGCTGCGCTTGGGC